TGTTATTATTATTATTAATAATATTATTCATGTTATTATCAGTATTATTGCTATTATTATTATTATGATTATTATTCATGTTGGTATTATTATTTTTATTATTTTAAAATAACAATAGTAGTTGTTATATTAGTGGATATGTGATTTGAGGTAATCAGTACCAAGAGCAGTGAAATACTCCAAAATGCTACCCAGCAAAGTCAACTACCTAACTGTAAACTTTGTCTAGAGTGACTTCACAGCCAGCTTCTGCTTCTCTTTGAATAACGAGAACAAGAGTTTGTTTTCATTGAGGTAGTTGGTGTGTTATATAACTGCTGTTTTTTCAGCCTTCATTGCCTGAGGGCTGAAAGGGAGGGAGAGAGAGAAAGAAGGATGCAGGATCAAGCTGTGTGCAGATCTGGACTCTCTGACGTCACACATCAGGATGTTCAGCAGCCGCACCAATGTTTTCATGTCGTCATCATCAGCCTCTTCAAGCCCGCAGCTCACAGTTTGCGCACCAATCAAAAACATCTAGCAAGAGAAAAACCAGAAGGAGAGTGCGAGTCGTCTTTTCCTCCTCTAGTCTTTCTTTTCTGCTAGCTGGAGGTGAGAGTGACAGCGGGGTGAGGAGGGAAATGGTTAATCAATAGTCACAAGGTCAGAGCGGCGAGCCTCTGGTTTGAGCGTTCCCTGTTAGTGGCTTGGAGCTGAGGATTTGTAGCGCTTGTAAAGGCTTAAAGGAACACTCAGCAGTTATTTGTGGTGGTGCTGATGGTCGGGGTGGCAGGAGAATAGAGAGAGACTCCTGCTGGCCTTTGACTGGCACTGCAGATACACAGACCTACAGAGCTGAGTCCTGTCTGAGCGTTTAGCATCCGATTGACTGCGTTTGGCAAACACTTTTATCAGGAGTGATTTTGCATTGGGTTTGATGGGAACACTTTTTACAATCATGAAGCCTTGGGGAATTGTGACCACACACACTTGCTCTTTTTATGTTCATCAGAATGTGTCCTGATAAATTTTGTCAAAGAAAAAACAAAATTATATATATATAATATATATATTTTTTCTTTTCTTTTTTTTTTGTCGTGATAATTTTATTATTAATAACAATATTAATATGATGTATGTTAATAATAATAATAACAACAATAATAATAATAAAAAACAAAATTATGAATGTTGCTGTTGTTGTTTCTGTTGTTGTTATTATTATCATTACTATTATTAATGTTATTATTAATATTGTTATTATAATTAGTAGTAGTACTATTATTACTTATAACACTATTAATATTATTATTAAAAATAACAACAACATTTTTATTATATTATTATTGATGTTTTAATTGTTATTGTTATTATTATTGTTGTCATTATCATCATTGACATCGTTATTATTTGTCATGTTGTTGTTGTTATTATTATTATTATTATTAGTCATGTTGTTTATTATTATTCATGTTATTATTATTCATGTTATTATTATTATTATTATACATATTATTATTATTATTATTATTATTATTATTATTATTATTATTAGTCATGTTGTTATTATTATTCATATTATTATTATTATTATTATTATTATTAGTATTATTAATATTATTATTAGTCATGTTGTTGTTATTATTATTGTTCTTCTTCTTATTATTCATGTTTATGTTGTTTTTATTATTATTATTATTATTATAATGTAAAATGTTCAAATTAATACAATAAAAGTTTGTGTGTGTGTTTTTTACCAAAAAAATACAAATACTGAGACAAAATGTTTTGCGATATTCACAGCCAGTTATACCTTTACTGTAGACTCGAGCTGAAATGAGAGCATGCTGTGCTTTTCTACATCTCTGAGCTTTTTATTCCAGCACTCTTCTGTTCTGCAGGTATGGCCCATCTCGCCTCACCCGTGACTTACGTGCTTAAACATTTCATGCGGGCTTAAGAAAGCACTCCTAATACCTGTCTCTACATCACTTCCTGAAATGCACCGACTGCTTTAACATATATAGGGCACCGTCTAACCCTCCAGAGAGCCAGAGACGCTCCCTGTCCCGTCACGCACACAGCAGAGGCATTTAAAGAGAGCTTTATCAGACCTCTGCAGTGGGTGGCGGGGGAATTTCAATGTCTGCCTGCTTTTTTTCCCCCCTCGCATTTGTGCCCTGGAATTTGAAGAGTGAAGGCAATAAAGTGGTCAGATGAGAGATGAAGGCCTGACACTCCAGTTCTTTACCAATTAATCTTTCCGCATGTCGCTGTAGTGAGTTACAGTGCTGGCCACGAGGCTTCGTGTTTATTTGCCAGCGAACGCAACAGTAAATCAACCCACGGCGGCTAAATTGATAACCTTGAATGTAAGGCCTAATACCTTTAACAGCGTGTAATAGACTCACTGATGTTGTTCAGGCATTTGTGGAGGTCTGTAATTGGTCACGGTTCTTTCGTCCAGCACACACATGCACACACCATTTATCCACACTCAGGAAAATAAATTGTTGGTGTAACAATACAATTATAACTCAGATTTCCACGCTTTAGAATGATGTTATTTCAACTTAATTTGGGCAACTGGAATTCATTTTGAAACAAATGAGATCAAATGATTTCTGTTTAAGGTTTTTATTAATTCACTTGAACACAGTTTACATTTGTTGAGCCAATTAAAGTTAATTTACTTAATTTGGACAGCCAGAATGGTTTGCTAACTATTGCTGTGGAAATGTAACAACAAGTTTAATAATTGTTGTTATTTTTATGTGTTACATGGACTAGGCAATTAAAAAGAGATCTCAGAACTGGCATTGAGGCCGTTGCTGCTCATTGAGTGAAGCAAAAAAACATAAATGTTGTTAATTAAGCTGCCAAACACAAGCATGAGCATCTCTTCTTCTGCACAGTCATAACCTCACATCTCAAATCTTTCATTGAACGCTAGTAAAACTGCAAAAAAAACTCTTCTCATTAATCAAAACTCTCTTATTGTCAACATTTTTCACTGTTTAGGGGATAGTTTAACCAAAAGTGAAAATGTACTCGCCCTCGAAAGGTTTCAAATCTTTCTGAGATTTGTTTTTCTGTTGAACGCAAAAGAAAATAGTTTGAAGAATGTTGGAGGCCAATGACCACTGGCATTCGTACTAGGAAAGAAACACTATGGAGGTCAATTGCTAGTTTATTAGATTGTGTTCAATAGAATAAATAATTTGAAACTGTTTTGAAACAAGTGAAGGATGAAACAGATTTATTTTTTTAGTTTTAGGTGAACTAGAGGTGCATCCCAAATCACATATGCACTATTCTATGCTATTCTACACTGAAATTTTCATTTTATTCTGAATAGAATGTGCACTTTAAATACCCGTGTGCTGCACTTATTCAATTGTTAAAATGAATTATGGAATGATGGACACTTCACACCCTCAACAATCGCAGCTTTGCTCACATAGCAGAAGGGGAGGAGCTTTCAGGCACTGATGTTGGATTATGTTATTTATTTTGGATTGTGAAAGCTAAACTCTTCTACGAGAGTGATTTTTTTTTTACCGCCTCTCGATGATGAATGTGGGTATACTCGTAGCAGTTAATTTTTGGTAGTTTGGTCATTTATTTCACTGATTTGGCAACAGTCAAACGTCATCTGGGAAACATTTAAAATTTCCACTTAAAAAAACGCTAGTGTTCCATTTATGACGACTTTACATACATATACTATGCTGTGTGAAAGTGTATAGTATTTCATTTGGGATGCAGCTTATGCCTTTAATGCATTCTCGCACAAAGCATTCTGGGAACTACAAATCTACTAATGTTTTTAGTTATGCCAACACCATCTCATGGCAATTCGTAACTTTTTGAGTTAGTGGCTAATTCGTATGAATTAGTGTGATCCCATTCATACTATGTTGTACGATTTGCTTCTCCCTCAATGAGGGTTGGGTTTAGGGGCGGGGTTGGATGCCACACCTTTTTAAAATTGTACATTTTTATACGACTGAATTTGAATTCACATAATTTAGCCACTAAACTGACAAAACGTCAAATAGTTACGTTTTCTTGTGAGATCAGAGTGGTTATGCCAGCAAAAATTGTTTATACTCATCAATCCTTCAACACAAAATAATTTAGCTAATATAATATTTTACAAAACTAAGCAGATTAAATACAAATAAATGAATTTTTTAAAAAAGAATTTAGTTAATTCGGTTTATTTTTTTAAGTCAAAGTGAAATGAAAATTGGCAACGTTTACTGTTGAAGCATATATTTTTATTTGTAGATGAACAGTTAATTCATGTTACATAATCAATTGAGAAAAATGTCTGAAAAACGTCAGCCAATCGAATTAGTTCATAATCGTCTTCTGTTTAAGGTGGGGTATTTTCATAAAGCCATCTGATTGGCTGACATGCCCGTTGGCGCTTGAAAAGTTGAGAAATTCCCAACTTCTGCAGTGAGCAATGACACTGAAGCGGCACTGATGGATCCTCAATGCAGTTCGACAATGCCTGACATCACCCTTTCAAAGTGAATAGGAAGCGTTGATGCTGACACCCCATGTGAATGGGGCATTACTGTTAATTTGCTACCAGGGAATGATGTGCGAAAGCAAGTCCGGTTCCCCACTTAATATTCTATTTCAGTTGGAAGTGCATCAAACATACAGAAATAAGTCTTAGCAACTTCCGGTTCACCGGTTGATTTGAACAAGCAGTGATGTTTTTTGTGTTTATGTGTGTTTGTCTATGAGTTGTGCCGTTTATTTTGCTAGCAATTTCTGAAGATCCCTTTTGGCACTTTTGCTTTGAGAGGATTGTCAGAGTTACAGCATGAAAAGATGGATGGGACGACGACTCCTCACCCACTCCTGAAATGTCATCGGAGCACTCAGTGTCTTTCAGGGCCTCATTGAGCGTGCGAGGAGACCACAGATTTGCGCTCAAGTGCTCTCTCGTTTTTCTCTCAGCCTGACACACTCCTCTCTTTGTCTGTCCATTTTTTTCCCAGAGAGAAGAACTTTAATGGCTTCCAGGTAGAGAGAAAGAGGCAGCAGTCAAGATGAACTCGATTCCTTCAATGGACAGGCACATACAGCAGACCAATGACAGGCTGCTGTGCATCAAACAGGTGAGGAGAAAAGACACCGCGGTGACACAACCACAGTCTGTCTGTCCTTCTGTCTGGCTCTTCATTGTTCCGGGGGTCTCCCACTGTCTTTCTGATGGCAGTCTGCAGTTTTCTATTAGACTGGCTCATATCAGGTTGCAGAGTATGAAATCTGTCGTCCTACTCAGTTGTTTTTTCAAGCATCTCCGTTTCAGCTTTGCTCTGCTGTACACAAACACATGTAAACTGGATGTCTGTATGCAGGCATAGCTTAGCCTACTATAACTTGCACTGAATTGATGGAAAAAGTGTTTTTTAATAATTTTTATTTAATTTCTATTATTATCTTAAACATATATTCAAATGAAAACAATAATATAGTATGTTGTTTTAATAATATTAATAATTTGACATTCAACACGTAAAAAAATTATATTACATTACAAAAATTTTATATTACAGTTATTACTAGATATTCAGTTAAAGGCAATGTTATTAACCATCTTGTGAATTTGTTATTCTTTATCAAATATATTATTCTTTATAAAAAGTATCTTACTGTATTAAATTCTAATAACTAAATTAAAGTATTGTTAAATTATTATTATTATTATTATTATTATTATTAAATAAATTATTATTAAATTACAATTAACTTGACTGAAATATTGTCTTTTTGGTCTAAAATCATTACAATGGGTCTTAATTTTCCTTTGTTTATGTACAATCAATCCAACACGCATAAAAACACCAACAAATACATCTGAATAAAATCTTTTGTGCATACATTTACTTTTTAAAGAGTTTTATTATGTTGTTAATTAAAACATATGTATATAACTAGGGTCTGCTTGTTTTGACACATTCTTTAAAATATGTGGCTAATAAATAACTATATATTCATATTAGATAGGGCAAGTACATTTTTCCTTATGGGGCATCAAAAAATCTTTAGTGTATAGCCTTCTTTAGTGACTTGCCCAAAGTAGGGCCTGCGGGCCGAAGTTGGCCCATGGTAACCTTTTGATTGGTCCACTGTCCCATCTGAAAAGAGAGGGAAACAGATGGGGAGGTCAGAGATCATCGTTTTGAATTTAACATAACCTTTTGTTTCTTTGCTTTATCGATGAGACACAAAAAACTGAAATGAATTGATTCAAATAAATGTTGTAAGTGAAGCAGACTTTTAAAATGTAAATACTGTCACTTGACAGATAGAGGACAATGCACAAGTCATCTGTGAGCAAATCAATAGCAGCTTGACTAGTGTGTTCAGCATTGAACTCGATTGTGTTAGTTATAAATGTCATTATAAATGTGATTGTTTATGTTTTTACAGTAATAAATTCATTATTAAATGTTAAAAATGATACTGGGTTAGTTAATATTATTTAAAACAACTTTTTAAAGTTTTTTTTCTGAAGTATTATTGAATAAATTTGCAAATTGCCCTTGGCAAATTTATTGTAATATAGTTTGGTATAAATTTGGCCATTAATCAAATTAGTTGTATTATCCCTTTATAGGAAAAACTTTGGCCACCCCTGGTTTAGTCCTATATAAGTCTAAAATCTTTTATTCTTTATGGTCTTAAAAAGTCTTAAATTTGACTTTGTGAAACCAGCAAAAACCCTGTTATAATTATGTTTAATGTAGCCATGAAATGTTTACAGTGATAAATTTAATATTTTTTATTGTGAAGAAAGTCTTCAGTCTTTTAAAAACAAATTTTAAGGTCAGCGTTTTTAGCCCCTTTAAGAAATATTTTTATGTACTGTCACCATGGGAAAAAAACTAACAAAAAATTGTAAGAAAATTAAATTAGTGATTTAAACTATTATGTTGTAAAATGTGGGCAAAACTGTGGCTCAGTGGTTAGCACTGTCATCTCACAGCAAGAATTTCGCTGCTTCAGTTGACATTTCTCTTGGGAGTTTGCATGTTCTTCCCTTGTTGGTGTGGGTTTTCTCCGGGTGCTCCGATTTTCCCCACAGGCAAAAGACATGTGGTTTAAGTGAACTGAATAAACTAAATTTCCAGTAGTGTATGTGTGTATGAATGAATGGGTATGTGTGTTTCCCAGTATTGGGTTGCGGCTGGAAGGGCATCCGCTGTGTAAAACCTATGCTGGATAAGTTGGTGGATCATACCACAATGGCGACCCCTGTTAAGTAAAGAGATTAAGCCAAAGGAAAATGAACGGATGAATGTTTAGAAATGGGACTGTTTATTAAATCTTCTGTATATTAAACAGCACTTGCAAAATATTTGAAAATGTCACAGAATGGATTGATAATTTTGACTTGAGCTTTAAATTAGGAATTGTGAGATATAGGAACTATGAGATGTATGAAATTGTGAAATATAAACTTGAAATTGCAAGAAATAATCTAATATCTGTGAGTGATAAACCAGAACTGCAAGACATCAATTCAGAATTGTGAGATATAAATTCCTGATTATGAAAAATCATTATTTCTTTTAAAATCTCTAAACCCATCATTAGGTCAGAGTGATTTAAGACCATCTCAAATCATCAGAAGACTTCAAATGCCCTCATGTTTCTCTTTATTATTTAGGACATTTAAGAGGGGGAAAAAAACAGCACTCGCAACTACAGACAAACTTTTACACGCATACACAGACTGAAGTAGGCATGACCTAAGGCTATGTCTTGCGATTCTAGACTTTGATAATTGCTGTGTGCTGAGTAGGTGTGACATTTTACATCTCTTGACAGATTTATGGAAATATTTGACATGCCAGCTTGCATCTTCTAGACATTTCAGGATTTTTCATGTCCGCACAGATCTCCGCTAGGCTTTGTTGTCTCTGCATCAATTAGGCGAGTCTTAGCGCTAATAAGATCATGTCTACAGCATGTAAAAATCCATTGAATTTCTGAGCCTATTAAATTGGTTACAAATGACACTTGTTATCTCTGTTTTGCATAGCAGATTGAGGCTGATTAAAACTAAGGACAAAACGCAATCGATTGCGGCTCATTAATCATATTGATATGGCACATTTAGAGTTGTCGCTGTAACCGGCAGGACTGTTGTTTATTTGAGCTCAGAGACTGAATTTATATTTCACATATTTACATCTTTTTGCACCAACATCAGTAATATTTTTTTGTATGATAACTGTATGCATTCTGCTGTTCTCTCATACGTTTGGCTGGCCTTTTTGTGGGACATTGTGAAGATGTGGTATTCTAGAAATGACCAATTTTTGGATGAAAAGGTCTCTTTTTGGTCTTCTGGTCATCTGTACAAAAAGTCACCAGTCACTTTAGATAGGCTCTCTATCTTGCTTAATCGGTGAAAAGTGGAAAATAGTTGCAATAATGCAAGAGTAACACCAATAATTGTGAGGTTAAACAATGCAATCAAAGTCCAAGGCACTCGAAGTGAAAAAAATGTACTTTTTTAACAAACAAAAATGTTTTTTTAGCAAATTGTGAGGTTAATGCATTTGTTGACGCATTTCTCATTTCTGCTTTTTATAAGATGCTTTCGATTGTATGTAACACGTGAGATGCTTAAAAATGCTGTTTTACTCCTCCTAGGATAATTTCAGATATGACTAAGCAAATACTTTGAAAATTAGAAAATGTTAAAATGTAAATAAGTGGACATGGCTACCTCACATGCAGTACCTACAGCACTCGTAGTTAGATCAGGTCATCATACTGAGGTGTAATGATGTAACACATTACACTAGGAAAAACTGGAGAAACTCTTATTTGTTTTATTTCGGCTAGAATAAAAACAGGTTTTTTTTTTTTTTTAAACCATTTTAGGTCAAAATTATTAGCCCCTTTAAGCTGTATTTTTTTGATAGTCTACAGAACAAACCATCGTTATGCAATAACTTGCCTAATTACCCTATCCTTCCTAGCTAACCTAATTAACCTAGTTATGCCTTTAAATGTCACCTTAATCTGTATAGAAGTGTCTTGAAAATGATCTAGTAAAATATTATTTACTGTCATCATGGCAAAGATAAAATAAATCAGTTATTAGAAATGAGTCATTAAAACTATTATGTTTTGAAATGTGTTGGAAAAAAATCTTCTCTCCGTTAAACAGAAATTGGGAAAAAATAAATAAACGGGGGCTAATAATTCAGGGGGGCTAATAATTCTGACTTCAGCTGTACATTACATGAAGTTATGTAATAAAATTCTGGTCATGTTTGATATATTGATCTGAATATAGGAAAAAAGTATTGACTTGTTGACTGTGATGCTAATTATACAAAGCTTAATTTAGTATCTGCTCTGTTAATCCTTTTATTTTTTTTTTTAAACAATATCTCTGCCAAGCAGCCTCCTTCTGAGTCCTAGTGCCTGCTTCATGAGAAATTCAGGGGGTTATTGCTGGAATGCACTAAAAAATGTACAAAATAAATGTAGTTCTATCTAGGAACAAAGCATCAATTGGGTCATAGAATCACAAGTCTAATTTCAATTAATTGTGTGAAGCTAACAATTATCAGAAATAATAATCTGAAACCTGTGAATTAACTTGTAAATTAACACTTCTCAAAAACACAAAAACAGAAAAGATATTGACATCAGCTCAGCCAAAAGGAGTTTGAAAATATCTGCAATGATCCAATTTAACGAGCTCCAGAAATTAAAAGTTCTTCACTATATTTATTATATCACTTTTTGTCGATTTACTTTATGAAAACTGCCTGTTGAATTAACTATATTGTGAGATATTGTGTTACTGTTAAAAAACTAGATTATTTATGGCCTGAAACACAATTTCCTTTTTGTCCACTATACAGTTGAAATCAGAATTAGTAGCCCCCCTGAATTATTAGCCCCTCTGTTTATTTTTGTTCCCAATTCCTGTTTAACGGAAAGAAGATTCCTTCAGCACATTTCTAAACATAAAAGCTTTAATAACTCATTTCTAATAACCGATTTATTTTATTTTTGTCTTAATGACAGTAAATAATATTTGACTAGATATTTTTCAAGACACTTCTATACAGCTTAAAATGAC